CCTAAGCATAAGAATTCCTGCTGCCTTTCTGACGTCAGATGTGTGGAGGAACTGAGTATTTTCTTTTTGTATCTACACCCATTGTTTTTTTGCCCAAATGGGAAAGTGTTTATGGTCAAGCAAAAGCATCTTAATGAGAATCAAGTGTGGACTTTGACTTATGTAAAGCTTCTGTCACGCCTTGATGATTCAGACCAGCGTGTGCCTGACGTAAGAAAAATCTGGCAAAAACACTGGCATAGGTTGGATAAGTTATGGATACATTTTGTATAAGTTATGAGCATGCTGGTACATGCTGGCACACATCAACATACGGCGAGTACGTATGCCAGTGTGATCGTTGACATACGTTAAGTTTAAGTTACCTTTTAATGGTGTATTGGCAGCGTTTTGGTATAAAAGGGGGTTTCACAGGAGGAAACTGTCAGTTCTCCCCCAGACTACATCCCCATCATAGGGTGAGCGAGGTGTGATGGATCCTTCCTGCATTAACGCTAAGCCCATAACCAACAAACTTCCTAGCAGACATGACGCTGAATCTGCAAACAGTCTTTCTATCATTTTCTTTTTATTTATTCTTTTTTTTTGGGCGAGAAGTGAACAACAGCTAGGTTGTGGTTGAGGAGCTTTAACTGATGCTTCGTAATGTTACGCTGCTCTGCTTTATGCAGAAGTACGGCTGTCGTTGGACATAAGTTCTGCACTCGTTTTAAATACGCTATGTATACGCCCAAATAAATAAAAAATACATAGAAAGTTCAGTGTATGCCAGGGTTTTAGGAGATTCTGGGACGTCAGGCAGGAGCTGGATAAATGGACAAGGTGTGACAGAGCCCTAAGGCTATTCAGTTAGCCATTATTTTCCTGCAGAACAACCTAAGTGTGCTTAAACGTAAGGTAGCTAACTAATGGTCAGACATTAGTTAGTGGTCACTGCAAGTTGTCACTGTCCAGACCATGACACCACCACCACCATGTTTGACCAGTATGATGTTAGTTTTTGGAAGGCAGTGTTAACTTCATGCTAGACGTAACAAGACACCCATCAGATACTCTTCAACTTTATTTTCAGTTAACATTTTTTCCCTAAACTTCTAAAGTAAGTAAGTAAGTGAGTAAGTAAGTATAATGATGATTTAAGTCAGTTCTTTTGGGGTATTTTGGGTCTTTGGATGTGGGTTTTCAGCTTTGACGTTTTTTACAAACAGAAACAGAGACCTTCAGTGCTTCACATGTTGCTTGGTTCTTTTCTGACCTCATAGATGAACCATCTATAGCTTCTTGGAGTAATTTTAGCACATAGGAAGGTCTCTATAACATTTTATAGACTCATAGATGTTAATATTCATCATCTAGATTTAGGCGAGGAATATTTACTTCTTGGGATCTCTCTGACCTTTGTCCTGCTGCCAAACAGCTTCTATTTGATAGATCTTTAAGATTCTATTTATCAGGTCTGCCAGTAATCAGACCTGGGCGTAGCTTGTGAAATAATGAACCTGTTGGAACATTGATGAATCAAAACCAGTATCGGTTGAGCTGCTGATAGCTGGAAGGCCTCCAGATAAAACTCTGTTTCAGGCTCCATGCAGGCTTGGAACGGCTCTGCTTATCATAACAAACACCTTGACAGCTTAGGTACCAGCCCATATAAAAATAAACAGATATAACAAATGGATAGATGTGATTCTGATACTACTTGTGAAAACAGTGATGATATGGGTAGAAAAAAATTCACGTTAACTTTACTCTGGTTTTTCTTTTACCAGTAAAAAAGATATCCACCTGTTTCCTTAAACTTTATCTCAATCCATAAAAATATGCAGCTGGAGTCCATGGTCACATATAATAAAACTCTGCAGGACAAGTGAACCTGATATTTTAAATCTATAAAATCGGACCTTTCAGATATGGCGTCCAAGCAGTATATGAGTTGATGCAGTTTTTTTTTGCACACACTAATTATGCAGCTTTAATAAAAAAAAAAATAAAGAAAACAATGGAGGAAATTTTGCACAAAAGATCCTTTAATTAGACAAAAATGGCCTGTACTTCTACCAGGATCATAGGGATTAAGTAGGCAACTAAACATGACTGTCGGACCTCTTCAGTCACTCTTGAAGTGTTGGACTGATTGAAATCTGATTGAAATTATTGTTTTTTAATATAAATGCAACAATTTCATCAGCTTGATTAGTTTAACCCTTGACAGTCTTGGTCCCCTTGGCTTTATACAGTCATTCTGAGGTTTTATTTTAGATAGGGCCTTTAAACTAGACCGACAGATAAACGTGACTAAAGAAAGAAAACCTAAACGTGAAGTCACGTCTTCAAGTGATTCATGTTTTTATTTCTCAGTTGGATTAGAAATTGTCCAAACTGCTGCAGCAGGTAGTAAAAAAACAAGAGCCCTTATCTCTGG